TCCAACTTGACTCTCACTGGGATTAAACATGACAATAGGTCTGAACTGATTTCATCATCATTTAAAAAATCATCTATTATTTTTCACTTTATGTTTGTGTGGGAGCAAACTGTTGAAATCTTTACTTAATGTATGCTAAACTGATCTTCTGTATATAAAGAGAATCGAAAATGAATCCTCATGTAAATGGAAGGGGAGAGGGAGTAGGAAAGGGGAGGGATGTTGGTGGGAGAGACGATATGGGGGGGAAGCCACTGTAATCCATAAGCCGTACTTTGGAAATTTATATTCATTAAATAAAAGTTAAAAAAAAGTAAAAAAAATTGAACCTCATAAGGACGAATTCATAATAGTATAAAACTGATTTCCTAGCTTCTCTCATCATTGCTATGTTGTGATTCAGGGGTTCCATATGTTCAATGTTTCTCAGGAGGTTTTTTAAGAAACGGCAGTACCTATGGTGCCACAAAGTTGGGATCATCTTAGAAAATCACATTTTAGGTGGATCATTCTCCAAAACTGTTGAAAAAGTTTTATTTTTCCTTTAGAGATATTCTCTCAGAAGGAGCTGAAAAGCTTTTCCTCCTTTCTCAGAATTAAAATAAAGTAAAAGGATACATTCAGGGCTACCCACTGACAGTGTCTCCGTGAGGATGAGGAGGAGTGGCTGAAGACACAGCCACTCACCCAGCTGTCTCCACACTGTGCTGAGTGCACACTGAGAATATCCTGAGAAGATTTCTGCATCGTGTTGCACAGAGAACACTCCTGAGCTGTGGAGGACTGTTGGAGCCCTGTCTCTTCTGAGGCTGCCACAAACCTCCCTGCAGTCACAATAGGTCCCCCATCACACCCTGCCTAGGAACCCACCCACCCTGACTGCCCATCTGTGGAATAAAGAGGCACTTACCCAGGACGACAGCTGGGAGGATCCATGCACCTGAGAGGAACCTGCAGGGTTTTAAGGGAAGGTTGTCCTGAGCTCATCTCTCTGTGGATTTCATTGTGGTGTTTGGGGAAAGGGGACAGATCCCACTGGGGACCACAGAACACGGAGTCCCCAGTGGAACCTGTCACCTGTCTCTGCATGTTCCTGTATTCCCTCCTGCATAGTAATCTGGGGAGAGCTGAGCTCCAAACTTTGCTGTGAGTTCCGTGACACTTGTGTGAGGTCAAAAGAGGCCCAGCCTTGAGGACAACACCACGTTCTCCCAGTTTGATCTGAGAGCACCTTAGTCCCAACCAGTTCCACACTATGAAGTGCACCTGACATGGGCAGAGAGAACTCTGATGTCCTCCATGAGTTCTCTGGGGCTGAGGGTCCTCTCCTTACAGGGTGAGGTGCAGCCAGGTCCTGACATCAGTCACACACACTGAACTTCATATGCAAGTGGCATTAGTTGTATATTCCATGATGTCTGATCTTAGTTTGAATTGTTAAGCTCTGTCTCAGACTAAATAGGAATAAAAACCTCTAACATGTATGGGTGAAGGCAACCAACTCCATTTGTAACCCATTTCATCATTTTCATTCTCCAGTGACCCTTGCTGTGTCCCCACATGTGATACAAACACAGCCCCTGCCTGGTGATGGTCCAGACCCTTTAGGAGGTGGAGCTCACGCCTCTGCACAAGGCCAGGACCTGTGCACACTGTGGCTGATGCACTGAGAAATCCATGCCCTCAGCCCTGCAGGACAAGGAAAATGAGCGCTGGGTGATGATTGAGCAGTGTGTGGGGAGCCAGGATTCCCTGGCATTGGAGGAGCCCAAGGCTTCAGATCTGATTGTTCTACCAACATAGAGGTGTCAGACAGTTTGGTCTGGAGCAGTTCCGTATTGCTTCATTTTATTAAACTCATTCAGAAGAGAACCACTTAGAGTAGAATAGTTTCTGTCCAACAGTTCAAGAGATAAAAGTAACATGCTCTGGAAACAGTGTTACTCACCCAGCTTGTTCACCAAGCAGAGAAGTGAGACTGGGTTTAATATAAATGCTGTGAACATGTATCCATCCATAGCCTGGGCTCACTCAGGTTGTGATAGGTGTGATCCACCACCCAGTTCTGCCCTGACTTTCCCTGACCAGGGATATGGCTCACGGGAACGGTGGCTGCTGATCCGACAGACTCAGTAGCCCTGGAACCAGTGTAGGGTGGTGACCACTGTGCCAAGCATGAAGTCTGGCTCTCCCTCTGCTCATGCACCTGTCTCAGCAGCTGGCTGAGCTGGCTTTTACTCAAGCAGCTACCTGCCAGCAATAATTAGGGGAAACCTAATCTTGATTATTTTCCAAAGTTTGGACAGGTATTTTTTTTTCTCTCCATCACTCTATGCTTTTATTTTTAAGTGTATTTATACCTTTATCTGTACAACATATATGGCTGGTAACATTCCTCATTGTAATACTTTGATGGGGCAGTCAGAGGCGAGACCACCAGGGCACCTGTTGGCTTAACATATGCTCCAGAGCTGGCACCTGAGTGAGCACCAGAAATGCACCTGCTCAACTTCTCATAGTCTTTGGGCAGTCTGGATGATTTTTTAAAAAATGTGTGTTTTATTTATTGGAAAGGCAGGGATACCAATAAAGATCTCCCATCTCCTGGATCATCCCCCTAATGCTTGTATCAGCTGAGGCTCTGTGGTGCTGCAACCAGAACCTGGAACTCAATCCATGTCTCCTGCAAAGGTAGCAGGGATCCCATTGTGTGAGCTGCCACCCACTGCCTCTCAGCAGGAAGCGAGAATTGCAAACTGAATGAGAACTCAAACCCTGACATTTTGACATGGGCTGCAGAAATCCCAGCTGACATCTTTACCAAACACCTGTCCCATTTTTGAACTATGGCATGTATGTATGGCATAGCAAGTGATGCTTCAATATTTTGGTAAGGTGTATGTTGTTGAAGTCAGGATATGCTTTCCTGAAACACCATTTCTTTATGGTGAAAGCAATCTATTGATATAAAAGTATATAGTATATTGTTGTCTGTTGTCAGTCTGCTGTGCAGAACAGCACATGCGCTTAGTCCTGTGTAACAACGATCAGTACCTGTTCATAATCTCTTCCCCCTCATCCCTTTCTCCCCAATATCTTGTTGCCACAATTATATCAGCTGTTTTTAGATAAATTATTTCTAGATTACAGATACAGGTAAAGTCATTTGGAAATTATCTTTTTGTACTGGCTTATTTCATTTAACATAGTAACCTCTAGTTCCATCCATATTATTGTAAGCGATAAAATTTTAGCTATATATTGCTGGATAGCATTCCATTACTTGCCAATAGATTCTTAATTATTTTAAAAGATTTATTATTTATTTGAAAGGCAGAGTTACAGGAGGAAGGGGGAGAGAGAGAAAGAAATGGAGATTTCTTCCATTTGTGGGTTGACTCCCCAGTAGCCACAATGGCTGTGGCTATGCGAGGTTGAATTCCGAATACCCAGAGCTTCTTCCAGGTTCCCACATGGGTGCAGAGGCACACATAATGTCTTGGTCCTGTCGTTTTCTTACAAATATTCCTATTGTTCATTCTGGATCTTTGCTTTTCACTAGGATGTGTTCTGCCTTCACATATAATGATGTGTTTGCCTGTTTTTGTTTCTGTGTGTAGTATGACCTTCCATGTCATTTATAAGGCTTTCCAGGTGGTGATTTCAAATTTTATATATTTTGAAATTTTTTTCCTCTTTCATTTTAAATGAGTGCTTCATTGCATGATGCATATGTTACTCAGGGTTGACAGTTTTATCCTGTAGGGCTTGAACTATATTTTTTCATTATCTGTTTATTGCTAGGATTTCTGGTGAAAAATCTGTCAAATGGAAATCAGCTAAAGGCTTCCTGCCATTTCTCTCTGGCACAATTTCTGATTTTTTTGTTTTACTTTTGTAATTTTGGGTATACTATGTTGTGATGAAGATCTCTCTGGTCATGCCTATTGATGTTTCATGTATATCCTGTTCTGGAAGTCCATAACTTTCCTCAAATTGGGGAAATTTTCTGAATATATATCTCATATTACCTCACTGAATAATTTATCTAGGCCATTCTGTTTATCTTTTTCAGCAGGAATTCCTAAGACACATATGTAATGTTGTTTGATGGTATTACATAGATCCCAAATATTGTTTCCTATTTGTAATCTTTTCATTTTTTGTCGTACTATTTTTTTTTTTTGACATGCAGAGTGGACAGTGAGAGAGAGAGACAGAGAGAAAGGTCTTCCTTTTGCTGTTGGTTCACCCTCCAATGGCCAACGCGGCCGGCGCGCTGCGGCCGGCACACCGCGCTGATCTGATGGCAGGAGCCAGGTACTTATCCTGGTCTCCCATGGGATTCAGGGACCAAGTACTTGGGCCATCCTCCACTGCACTCCCTGGCCACAGCAGAGAGCTGGCCTGGAAGAAGGGCAACCGGGACAGAATCTGGTGCCTCTGTCGTACTGTTTCAATACATTTGTCTTCTGGCTAGGATTTTCATTCTTATGCCTGAATGTGCTAAGGCAATGTACTTTGTTTTAATTTGACATATTGAATTCTTCATTTGTAATACTTCGTTTTGATATTTCTTTACTATCGCTAGTGCCCTACATAATTTCTCATCCACGTCATGTACACACTTCCTTCTTCCCTATGACAGATTGTTTATTTTTATGCAATTTTGAGACTCACTCTTTTGTTTTTTTTTTTACATTTATAAATTTTATTGATTTTTTAAAGTTTATTTTTGTTTCATTGACTTTCTATTTTCTTTTTTTTTAACTTTTATTTAATGAATATACGTTTCCAAAGTACGAATAATGGATTACTATGGCTTCCCCCCCCATACCGTCCCTCCCACCCACAACCCTCCCCTTTCCCACTCCCTCTCCCCTTCCATTCACATCAAGATTCATTTTCGATTATCTTAATATACAGAAGATCAGCTTAGTATACATTAAGTAAGGATTTCAACAGTTTGCTCCCACACAGAAACATAAAGTGAAAAATAATAGATGATTTTTTTTTAATGATGATGAAATCAGATCAGACCTATTGTCATGTTTAATCCCAGTGAGAGTCAAGTTGGGAGTTGATAGTTTCTTTTCTTTTCTTTTCTTTTTTCTTTTTTTTTTTTTTTTTTTTTTAGAGGATCAGTTTAGTATGCATTAAGTAAAGATTTCAACAGTTTGCACCCCCATAGAAACACGAAGTGAAATATATTATTTGAGTACTCGTTATAGCATTAAATCTCAATGCACAGCACATTAAGGACAGAGATCCTACATGAGGAGTAAGTGCACAGTGACTCCTGTTGTTGACTTTACCAATTGACACTCCTGTCTATGGCATCAGTAATCTCCCTATGCTCCAGTCATGAGTTTCCAAGGCTATGGAAGCCCCTTGAGTTCTCCGACTCTTATCTTGTTTAGACAAGGTCATAGTCAAAGTGGAGGTTCTCTCCTCCCTTCAGAGAAAGGTACCTCCTTCTTTGAAGACCTGTTCTTTCCACTGAGATCTCACTCACAGAGATCTTTTGCCAGAGTGTCTTGGCTTTCCATGCCTGAAATACTCTCATGAGAGACTCACTCTTTTGAATTTCCTTGGCAGTCACTTAATAAATCTTGTCTTAACAGTCTACCTTTGATGTACCATTGGGGGAGTCATATTGTCGACCTTGTTCAACTTTTATTGTATTTCTGCATTTATTTTTACATATCTAGGGAATCACTTGTTGGTGTCTGCTCTGAAGGTTTTGTTCTTGGAAGTGCGCCTCTATGATTTGGGGGAATGCCTGTGGATTACAGTTGTAATTGAGATGTGTGTGTATGGGTGGAGCAAGTCCAGAGTGACAACCACCTTGGGCATGGTAGCTCCCCACTGCCTGTTGTGACGAGGCTGAGGGTTCACCATGCTGCTGGCATATTCACAGCTCTTCTTTGTACCATAGTGAATAAACAGATTCACTGCCACGACTGAGCTCACAGTGCCTGTGCACCCCACCCATCAGGTGTGCAACCTCACAACATTCGTGTGCTCTGTAGTGTGAGTGAGGAGCCCTCTGTGAAGTCCCTCCCTAGCACTCAGGGAGTCTGGAAGTTTTGGAACCAGACCTGGTAAGTGCCCATGAACCGAGCCATATGACATGCCCTTCTCAGTTTTTTGTCTGAGAATTTGCTCAGTCACAGAATGTGCCACAGTCACAGGATGCAGGACTCCCAACATAACAGGGTGCATGGCATTCATCCCCTCCCCTGCAAGTTGCCCCATCCCCACAGCAGCTCTCTGGCATGCAAAAGATTGGCTGAGCTCTGCCCCAGCAAGTTGAATCTGGTGCTTCAGTGTAGACAGGGGAAGGAGGCAGTGTGGCCTACCTCCCCACCGCTAAGTGAATTCCACCCCCACAGTATTTCCCGGCTGGACTCAAAGTCAGTGGGGACCATGTAGTTCTCCATCAGATAAATCACCAGGGCCACAGAGGTTGTTGCAGCCTCCACTCACCTTGCTCTAGGAAAATGGCATTTCCCTGCTGGTGCCATGAGCTTTGGTGGGAGAAAGGAGGAAACAACATGGCCTTCCTTCATGGAGCTGAGTGGATGCCAGCTCTCATGGCCGGATTCACAGTCACTGGGGGCTGCATCGCTCTCCCTACTCCAAAATCACCAGTGACCCATGGGCTTCTGCAGTCTCTTCTCAGCTCACTGTGGGAATGTAGCATTTGCCCACTGGCCCTGTTGGTCGCTGGTGGGGTACTGCTAACTCCAGTGAGTGTGTACACTATCCTTGTTGTCTACAATGATCCATTGTGTTCTGTAAGTTTTCCACTGAACATTTCTCTGCTACTGACCTGTGGGAATGTGCTGGCCTCATTGGTGGTGCCTTCCTGTGGGTAAAATCATGAGTCTTCTCTGTTTTCAGCCATCTGAATGTCCTCTGAAAACCTTCATTAAAGAAATATCACCCTAACCACAACATGAATGGCATACGAGGTGGGCATTTGGTTTGTTATTATGTTGTTAGAGTTGAACAGTCGTGAATGGGAGTAGTGCTCTAATAAAGGGACCCTCGAGAGCTCCCTCAGCTCTTCTGCCATAAGACATGGTGAGAAGTTGGCTGTACATGGAGTCAACTTTAAATCTCTTGATACCTTGATCTTGGTCTGGCAAGAATATGAGTAATAAATGTTTGTAATCTGCCACGTCTATGGGGTTGGCTCTAGTCTGAGGAGGAGGCAGGGCCTGCAGGGTGACCCCCAGATCTGAAGAGGCCATCACCCCAGTTTCTCTGGTTCTAGGAGAATCTGTCTTGCTATCACAAACCACCCATCACAAGTCATCAGTGACACTGCTTAGGCTAAGGTGATGGGGTCACTCACTTCTGGATCTAGTTGGGTTGCTGAATCTCCCAGAGTCTCAGTGGATGTCTAGGATGGTCATGTGCATGGGATGCTGGGATCATGGGTGGGAAGGATTCCAGTGGTTTTCCTCTTATAATAACAACCCACTGCTGCAGCCTGTGCCCTGAGGGTGGCTGTGCGAGCAGCTCTCAATTTTACAATTATAGTACCTGCCAGGGGATTTACTTGAGCTCATAGTTTTTAGGTCCCCAGTCCAGGACTGGGCAACCCCACAGGTTCAGATATCTGGCCTGGCCTTTCCAGTTTGGATGAATTTAGTTTGTTTTTTCTCTCCTGAGTGCCCTCGTACAATTTGGAGAAGAAGCGAGAATGAGCATTTTTGTCTGGTTTGTATTCATGACCTTACAGGGAACTCTTTCAGCCTTTTACAAGTACAGTGTTAACCTTTTTTCCCCCATGCATGTCACTTACCAGATGAGTGCATTCCCTTCTATTCTGATTCTGTTGAATTCTTCTTAATATGAAATGTGTTACATTTATCCAAGAAACCTTCTGAATCTTTTCAGGTCTAGTTTTATCCATTCTATTCTGGGAGATACTGCTTTAGTTGATTTTTTCCTGTAGAACCATCTTTGCATTACTGAGATTATCCCACTTGGTCATGGTGTCTTTTGCTTTTATCACACTGCTGCATTTGATTTGCTAGTCATCTGTTGAAACTGTTGCATCTGTGGATTTTCTCTGGAAATACTTACATCAACGTTTGGAATCAGTGACTTGCCAGTCTCAGAGACTGAGTTGGAAACTATCCCTTCCTTGTATTTCAAACAGTCTGTGAAGATTACAAAAGATTGGTGCCATGGTTTGGATGTTGCCCATTTGTGTCTCCAAAAAGTTGACTGTTGGAATCCTGGTTCCCTGTGTGTTAAGATGCAGTTGGACTTTTAAGTGTGGGGATCTTGTGGGAGGTCATGGGGTCATTGGGGCCCTGCCCTTGGAGGGATCTCTCTAAATGAGTGACTTGTTCCCTGGAGTCCAGTTACAATGAAAGCACAGGACCAGCTCCCAGGTCTCTGTGGCTTCCTTCTCACCAGGTGGTCTCTACCTCTTTCTTGAACTCCTACCACTGTGATGAACTGCTACCATCCTGCATTAGCTCTTCTCCTGAGGTGAGCTGATGCTGGTGCCAGGCCCTGGAACCTCCACCCATGAATTAAATAATCCTGAATTTTTATTTATTATTCATCCTTAGGTATTTTGTTACCTTGATGGAAAACAAGCCTTTATGCCTTGCATTGCTATAAATTCCTTAAACTCTTGATACAGTCAGTCAGTGAATGCATGTGGTTCTGAATTTTGTTTTTGTAAGTTTTGGATGACTAACTGCATGGCCTTTCTAGTTACATGTGTATTCTGATTTTCTGTTGTACTAACAGTTTTCTTGAGGTATGTGACAGAAATGTACATATTGAAAGCACATGTATGATGATATCATTGCATATATCCCAGGTGACACTGGAACCACAATCACTTTCACAGTGTCCCCTGTGTGAATTTATTGTCCTTTCTCATGCATCTCCTTCATCCTTGTGTCTATACCCCATCACTCACCTCAGTTTTATCTCCTGAAGTTTGAAACTTGGTACAAAATCCAATTTCTATGTGTGTGTGATTTGAATAGAGTTTTTCCAGTAACTGTTGGGTTAACTTATGTATTAGTTACTTGTACCTGTATGTCTTAGATTTTTAATTATAATACAGTACACATGTCAGAAAAAGCACAATAATGTATAGATAAATGAGTTTTTTGTCTTCAGATCATATTGATGCCAACACATGATTAGAATAAGGAATGATTGGTACTCCAAGGGTCCTCACTGTTCCCTCCTCTCCATTTTTTTGTTAACTGGTGCAATAAGAACATATTTTCACCTTCACGGTATGATTCAGTGTAGTTCTATATATAACTACCAAGTGAGGAGACACACACAGATTTTTTTATTCTCTCTACAAGTTAACTACCACATATAAGAGAAGACGTGGTATTTGTGTTTTGGGACTCAGTTATTTCACTTAGCATAATGATCCCTTTTAAATCCACATTGTAAATATGTCATTGTTCCATTCTTTTTTGTGGTTGAGTAATATATACATACATCAGTTGATGGACATCTAGGTTCATCCCATATCTTAGCTGTTGGGGATTGAACTGCTATAAACATGGGAGTGCAGGTAAATTTTTGTATGCTGGGGGTAGCACTGTGGCGCAGCTGGTTAACACCCTGGCCTGAAGTGCTGGCATCCCATATGGGTGCCGGTTTGAGACCCAGCTGCTCCACTTCTGATCCAGCTCTCTGCTATGGCCTGGAAAGCAGTAGGAAGACTGCCCAAGTGCTTGGGCTCCTGCACCCATGTGGGAGACCCAAAAGAAGCTGCAGATGGTGGCTTTAACCACTATACTGCAGGGTCAGCCCTACGCTGCCCATTTCTTAATGACATTGTTTGTTGTGTTTTGAGCTCCTTATTTATTATGGATATTACTCCTTTATCAGATTCATAGTTTGCAACTATATTCTCTCATTCTATTGGTGCCCATCCACAGTCTTTTCCTTTGCTGTGCAGAAGCTTCTTGGTGTAATTCTGTGAGTATCTTTGTTATTTTATTGTCTGTGCTTACGGAGTGTTATTCATGAAGGGCTTGCCTTGTTGTTGGTTATTTTTCCTATGTGTTCCTCTAGCAGTTGGATGGTTTCAGGTCTTAAGTGTAGATCCACTGTGAGTGGGTTTTTGTATAGTGTGTAAGATAGGGGCCTTATTTATACTTCTGCATGTGGAAATAGAATTCTCATACACTATTTTTTGAAGGAACTCTGCTTTCTCCATGGAACAATTTTAGCTTGTTTGTCAAAGATTAGCTGGTTTTGAGGACACATGGATTAATTTCTGGGGTTTGTATTGTGTTCCATTGGTCAATAGGCCTATTTTAGTGCCCACAGCAGTCCATTTTGCTAACAATAGCTGTATAATGTTTCTGGAAATCTGGTATTGTGATGCCTTCAGCTTTGTTTTTGTTTTTTAAGATCACTTTAGCTATTTCTGGTCTTTTGAATTTCTACATGAATTTCATAGTTTCTTTTGCTAGTTTTCTGAAAAAATTCCCTGGAATTTTGATTGGTATTATACTGAATTTGTAAGTTATTTGATATTAATTCAACTGCATGTACTGAAAATTTTTTCCGTACTTTTGGAAATTGTGTATCTGGTCATTTGTTGGTGTCCCACAGATCTGGACACTGTGCTCAGGCTTGCTAATTGTTTTCTTCTTCCCCCTGTTCCTTTTCTAAAATAGTTCAAAAGAACTGTTTTCAAGAACAGATATTCTATCTTCAGTCTCACAAGTCTGTTTCTAAAGGTTTTCAGGATTTTTAATTTGACCTATTGAATGTAATAACTATCACTTTCAGTATTTTCTCATCCATATCATGTGCTGATTCCCTGGTGACAGTTAACTGTGTTGTTGTGTAACCTTAGAGCCTGTCTTTTGATATCTTGTTTCATGCTTTAGTCTGTCTCCCCTTTTCAGAGTATTTGCTCAAAAAAGACAAGTTATTTATTGATGAACAATTAAACACTTACTCTCCTCCCAAATGGATTTGAAAAATGTGATCATTCGTTTTTCACTACTGATTAGTACAAAAGGACTGACCATTGCATAGCCATTGCCTGCCAGCATCTGGACACACAGGCGCACTGGGTCACTCTTCAACCACATCCCTGAGAAGGAGTATACAATGCAGTCCATCAAGTACAGGAGCACAAAGACACTCATGAGCAGCAGGATGGTGCGGGTGGCCCTGTGCTCTGGGGAGGCTCTTGGAGAGAGGCTGGTGCTGTGAAGGTGCTGGGACCTCCTCTTGTGCCTGCACAGGAGAGTCACCATGTACCCACTTGAGATGGCCATGAGCCCTAGCAGGGAGACATCCCTGAAGATCCCCAATATGTGAATTGTGTGCTTGGGTAAGGATCTCTGGGGCCAAAAAGAGCAGGACTTAGTGACAAACATAAGACTGTTGGACGTACGATTTGTGGTGGCAACAGTGGAGATTAAGAAACGAGCACTGATGGACAAATTGAAGACCCATAGGAAGAGAAACCCACACATGTTGTGATGGGAGGACATGTGCTTGAACTTTGCCAAACAGGAGCTCCTGGGGCTGAGGGTGATGGCCTGGAGGACACTCAGCAGGCAGGTGGTGCCCAGGGAGAGGCCTCGCATCACCTGGTATGAGTAGATGACAGCTTTGCACGTGATGCCATCCCATAACTCCTGAGTCTCAAAAATGTCTGTAGCTATGACCCCTACAGTGGTCAGCATCACCAGGTGGATGAGTGTCAGGTGCCCAATGGTCAGGTCGGTGGGTTTGGACCTGTGCTTGAGAAAGAACCAGAGGACATGGAAGAGCAGATTGAAGGCATTGGCTGTGATCCCAACGCTGACTTCAGAGTAAAAGCTATTTCTTACAGCAATCAAACTTAAAAGTATATTGTTTTTACTCATCTTTTGGAGGGAGGGGAGGTAAAGCACTTAGTATATGTCTGAAAAAAATTAAGAAAATTTATTTATTACAAATACTGAGACCTTTGTTGGTCTCCAGAACAGTTCCTGCCTTCATGAAAATGTCTAGGCCAACACCATTGTACCATTTTTTACCTGTGCATATTGTCGTCCACTTCACACTTCTGGAAGCCACTGTGTTTCTAGTTCCACACTTGCCAGTTAGAATTGGAAAATATTTTCCACTGCAGGGCTGGCTGACACAGAACCTGGAGTATAAAATTGCCATCATTGAAAATTATTTCCTTATTTTCATGTTATTTTTGTTTTAAAGTCAGGACAATGAGTTATTTATTTTTGGAGCTGCAAATTCAGGACACAGTGTAAGAGCGCTGTTTTTGATAAATTCAAATGAGAATTTTAGGGAAGAAGAAATTAGACCTACAAATGCAGTAGGTGTCAGGGGTATATTGATATGTACATTTTTCTAATGCCACTGCTATATTTATTTTAATTTACTTCCAGAAAAATCTTCTTAATACATAGAACCAAATGGTGGTTAGTGTAGACTCAGAATTTAAATTTAAATTCTGACATCATTAGATTATGACCTCAGCTATCAAGATATCTGAGCTCCAGGTATTTGTTTTTTTTTTTTATCTTTTATTTAATGAATATAAATTTCCAAAGTGCGACTCATGGGTTACAATGGCTTTCCCCCCCATACCGTCCCTCCCACCCACAACCCTCCCCTTTCCCACTCCCTCTCCCCTTCCATTCACATCAAGATTCATTTTCGATTATCTTAATATACAGAAGATCAGCTTAGTATACCTTAAGTAAGGATTTCAACAGTTTGTTCCCACACAGAAACATAAAGTGAAAAATAATAGATGATTTTTTTTTAAATCATGATGAAATCAGATCAGACCTATTGTCATGTTTAATCCCAGTGAGAGTCAAGTTGGGAATTGATAATTTCTTTTTTTTTTTTTTTTTACAGAAGATCAGTTTAGTGTACATTAAGTAAAGATTTCAATCGTTTGCACCCCCATAGAAATACAAAGTGAAATATACTGTTTGAGTACTCGTTATAGCATTAAGCCTCAGTGTACAGCACATTAAGGACAGAGATCCTACATGAGGAGTAAGTGCACAGTGACTCCTGTTGTTGACTTTACAAATTGACACTCCTGTTTATGGCATCAATAATCTCCCTATGCACCAGTCATGAGTTTCCAAGGCTATGGAAGCCCCTTGAGTTCTCCGACTCTTATCTTGTTTAGACAAGGTCATAGTCAAAGTGGAGGTTCTCTCCTCCCTTCAGAGAAAGGTACCTCCCTCTTTGAAGACCTGTTCTTTCCACTGGGATCTCACTCACAGAGATCTTTTTGCCAGAGTGCCTTGGCTTTCCATGCCTGAAATACTCTCATGGGCTTTTCAGCCAGATCCGAGTGCCTTTAGGGCTGATTCTGAGGCCAGAGTGCTATTTAGGACATCCGCCATTCTATGAGTCTGCTGAGTATCTCACTTCCCATGTTGGATCACTCTCCCCTTTATTTATTCTATCGGTTAGTGTTAGCAGATACTAGACTTGTTTATGTGCTCCCTTTGACTCTTAGTCCTTTCATTATGATCAATTGTGAACTGAAATTGATCACTTGGAATAGTGAGATGGCATTGGCACATGCCACCTTGATGGGATTGAATTGGAATCCCCTGGTATGTTTCCAACTCTACCAATTGGCGCAAGTCAACCCGAGCATGCCCCAAATTATACATCTCTTCCCTCTCTTATCCCACTCTTATGTTTAACAGGGATCACATTTCAGTTAATTTTCAAGAGCTCCAGTTATTTGTAACTATAGGTAAGCAGGTCACTTATTAGAGACTTTATGTGTACAAGTGTATGAGGTAAACATGTGAACAGGTGTACTGCCTGGGGAACAGTGGTCTCTGCCTGTCCCTGTGAGGTTCTCTTGAGCTCACCTGAGAGAGTGCCATCCTCTCATAATTTGCCAGTTCTGTCCCTGCCTAGAGGAACAGGGGAGTGTGAGCAACACAGTAGCAGGCTCTGAACACCCTCTGTTCCTTCCCTCTCTGTGCCTGGCTTGTGCAAACCACTGTGAATATGTTCAGAGTCTAAGTAGAGGGATGATTGCTTTCTGCAGAAATGAGAATGGGACACCCCCTCCTCCTCCACCAGGAAGGTGGTTCTCCAGGGGGCCTTGAGCCTTCCTGTCTTCCCCATGGGTGGAAGTGCTTGTGGACCTAAATGTTAAGTTTATGCTGGAGAACTTGGCTTGACCTACATGGGGGATGTTTCCCTGTGTAATATAGTTATTTACTGTAGTTGAAACTTTATAAACATGCAGCAATTACTGTCATGACAATAATTCCAGTAACACATTTCACATATTTATCATTTGAGAATCAAGATGTCAGGCTGGATTTCATCACAGAAAATTGGAGTATTGGGGTTCTATACTGTAAGTAGCTAAGAAGTTGAACGGGTTAAGTTCCATTGCTGTGTAGCATTTAAGAATCCAGAGACCATGTGGAAGTTGGTTTAAACCTTGGAAAACTTCAGCTTTCAACAGTAGAAATTACACAGTAGCATGTATAAAATTTAACCTTTTTGAAGTGTTGGTCAAATAAATGACAGAATTTGATCTATGCATACATTTATGAGGATATGTTTTGAATATGTGGTTTGCTCAGAGAAGTGGTAAAAAGGTTGAGCACTCAGACTCCTCTGTCTCTGCATATCCTGGGTCCTGTGCTGTCAGTAAGCACACAGCTGTGAACTGCCTTCTGCGTCTTTCCTGTACTTGAAGTAAAAAACAATTGTCTACTGTGTAACTGGAAAATATATACTGATAGTGTTTTAAAATAGTAATAATTAATAGATAACATTTTATCATAACACTTTAAAAAGCTGATGAAAAACTAAAATTCTCAGCTTCTGTTTCTTATGTTACTTCAAATACTTAAGAACATCAAAAATCTAATGGGGACTCATTTAGCAAAAAGCTCCACACTCCAAGTGTGAGAAGGCTCTTTAAGTCTTTCATTATAATGCATAGTATTAAAATATGCAAAATGTCAAGATGTTTTGAGTCAAAATAAACTTATCTTTTAAATTAATTTTTTCTCACAAACTTTGTATATTTCCCTTGAGAAGCTTTGGTGCATTCAGATTTTAAAATAAAATTGAACCTCACAAATACAAGTACACTATATAAATCTAATCAAATAGCATCTCTTACCACAGGTGAGTTGTGAGTGAGGGACTGCATAGATGCAGTTTCTCGTGGGATATTGTAAGAAAGGCAGGATGTACAGTGCCATGAACGTGGTATCATGTCAAGACATTCTATTTTAGGTGCAGCCTTCTTCAAAAAGTCTTACCTTTTACATAGGGGAAATTCTCCAGAAGGAGCAGAAATTCTGCCTCCTTTCACACAATGGTTATTAAGGAAATGGACCCAGTCAGAACCATGCACGGGTGCCCACTCACAGTGGCTCCCGAGAATGGCCAGGGGCTGAGAGCTGAATCCACCCTCCCAGCAGTCTCCACACTGTGCTGAGCACACACCACTGTTACCAGGGGAACACACAAGCCAAATATCTACACTTTATATTTCTATTCACATACTATGAGGAAGGGAATAGAAAGCTAATGTGTTAGCTCTTTCTGGCTGATATTTTATTAGAAAAACTATTCTGCAAGCAATGGTCGTAGTGAGTGCTCCCCAGCCACGCTCCTCACACACACTCCTGACAAGCACAGCACAGACTAGGAGATCATAAGTCAGCAGGAGGAGCCAGGAGACCCTCTCAGATACAGCTCTGAGGAGTGACAGTGTGAGGTGGCACCTGACTCTGCTGATGGACCAAGCCCCCAGGTCACTTTCTCCACACTGGAGAAAGCAGACAGCCCTCAGAGAGACTGGAGACTGCTAACACAATGTCAAAAGATCACAGCGCTTACAATTTGAAGTTCTTAAAGAGGTCTCATGCGGACTGTTGTTATCACAGGAGAGGAAGGAAGGGCTGAGTGGGAAGGGTAGGAGAATGAGAGAACAGGACTAAGAAGTGTCTGAGAGAAATCAGCATCTGCTTGAGCACTGACCTCCAGGAGCTCTTAGATCTGATGCTGCAGGCTGAGTTCAGCCAGGAGCAAATGGACACCATGAAGACTCCTCCTACACCTGATCAAGACATCACTCACTTCAGACAGCTGTGTGCTGCCCAGACCCAACTCACAGCCAGTCCTGTGCTACATGGCACCATCAGGTGGGCCAGGGACAGTGGAAAACACCAGGATCAGTGTACCACTGGTGGTCAGGAGGGAAGTGTATGGGTGACAGGAGGAAAACCTTCAGCAGATCTGAGTGCAACCGTGTGGCCCTTTTAAAAATGACTTATTTGAAAGTCAGTGTCAGAAGGAGACACAGAGATCCATGTGCTGGTACACTCCTCAGATGTTCAAAAACTGCCTTGGTAGGCCAAGCCTAAGTGAGGAGCTTCTTGCAGGACTCCCCCTTGGGTGGCAGGGGCTTAGACACTAGGGCATCATTCGCTGCTTTTCCCATTTCATTAGCAGGTTTCTAGATCGGACGTGGAGCAGCCTGGATTTGAACCAGCACCCATAGGAATGCCAGTGTTGCAGGCAGAGGGTTAACCTTGTACAGCACAAAGCTACCCCGTGTGTAGTCTTCTGAATGGACAGATACAGGGTGAAAATAAGAAGACGTGGAGGACATGTCTGTTCAGTCAGGTACAATATAAGCCTAATCAAGCTGTTGGACTGACCTGATGTGTACATGCTAGGATTTATGTCAGGCACTTGGTGGTGTGCTTAGATATGTGAAAGAGCACCTGTTGGTTTGTCAGTTCCAAAGAGGTCAACTTGACTGTCTTCGCCAACAAACATCGGTTCAGTAGATGATTTTGGCAATACACAGTGAATGTGTATCAAGAAGTACAAGTGTACTTAGCCACATATTCTGTGTTCTATGTTTCTAGCTGGAGAATTAGGTTGAGTACGGTTCAGAAAGGAGCTGACAGAGCACACAAACTGATGTTAGTCGCATGTACGCAGATGTTGCACAATACATCAATTCTAGTAGAGTGAAGAAAAAGCTTGAGAAATATTTTGGTAAATAAATGGTAGCTGTTTGTCAAAAAATCTGGGTGACAATTTTATACAATGCAAGGTGAAGGGATTATAAAGTAAAGCTCAGGGTGCCTGCTTGCACTTGGCTATATATGGTACCAATATTTTTATGTGTAGTCAGAAAATTTTGAAGTATTTTATTTACTCAGTAGGAACTTATTGGTAATATTTGCAATTAATGACTTAATACTAATACTTCAAACAAGGATTTTTTTTAATGAAAAAAGAAATCTGGAGACACATACCTGTCTTGAGATCATGTCCTTCCACTATTTGGCCGTAAGGAGAGATCTGCATCACCATCTTTGCGTTTTTTTTTTTTTTTATTTTTATTTTCAGTGTATTTCAGCATCAGTTCCCTATCCTCTAGTTTGGAATATCCTCAAGGCTAGGAACTGACTCCATGATTTTGAAATCTGTGCACATGAAGGCAGAAGAAGAAAGATCTTTAAGAGCAAATATGGTAGTCATTTTGTAGGAAGGAGAAGGTTAACGGCTCATGGCACTGTTTTGAACAAAGATCCCATTTCCTTCTAAAGGGTTACATTGTTTCCTTTTTTTGACAGGCAGAGTGGACAGTGAGAGAGAGAGACAGAGAGAAAGGTCATCCTTTTTTTTCATTGGTTCACCCTCCAATGGCCACTGCAGCTGGTGCACCACGCTGATCCGAAACCAGGAGCCAGGTACTTATTCTGGTCTCCCATGTGGGTGCAGGGCCCAAGGACTTGGGCCAGCCTCCACTGCCCTCCTGGGCCACAGCAGAGAGCTGGACAGGAAGAGGAGTATCCAGGACAGATTCCAGTGCCCCAACCGAGACTAGAACCCCGGGGTGCCAGCGCCTCAGAGGATTAGCCTACTGAGCCGCAGTGCCAGCCAGGCTTACATTGTTTCTTAAAAAAGAAACTGTCACCGGTGCCGCGGCTCACTAGGCTAATCCTCTGCCTTGTGGTGCTAGCACACCAGGTTCTAGTCCTAGTTGGGGCACCGTATTCTGTTCCAGTTGCCCCTCTTCCAGACCAGCTCTCTGCTGTGGCCCGGGAGTGCAGTGGAGGATGGCCTAAGTGCTTGGGCCCTGCACCCACATGGGAGACAGGAGAAGCACCTGGCTCCTGGCTTCGGATCAGCGCAATGGCCCCTGTGTACTGTTTCACCTGATACCCCAAATCTACTGACAGTGCTTATTTAAAGCACTGTCAACATATTTCATTAAAATGCTTTTTATGAAAAAGCTAGGCCAAGATTTCAAAATGTTTTATTCTGCCAAGATACACTTGTCTTTTAATTCAAATATTACCTGAACTTTTTAAAGCTCTGATTTACAGGCTTTGCTTTTTTTCATATTTTAAAATATAATTGAACCTCTTAAGTACAAGTACATGACATTATCAAACTGATATGCCTCATCATTGTTAAGTGGTGGTTGAGGGGCTACATACGTTCAATATTTCTCAATAGTTTGTGTAAAAATGGCAGGACATAAATGCCACAAAGTTGGAATCATGTTAGAAAATCATATTTTAGGTGGATCATTCTCCAAAACCATAGGAAACTCTTATTTTTC